CTTCTCCCTCTGACCCTCCTCCCTCTCATGCTCTCTGTCTCTCATTCTCTCTCTCTCAAATAAATAAATAAAATCTTAAAAAAAAAAAAAAAAGACAGTCTCTACCCTGACAGAGCATAAATGGAAATATGCTGAATAACTGTGATTATAGAATTTCAAGACTTCATCTGAAAAGACAAACTTTCTTGACACTGAAATTAAGGAGGAATTTATTACATGGGTTTCATTCTAATGAATTAATGAGTACCCTATATAATTCCTTTATAATTAATTTTTTTAAGTTATGTCTAACAAGTGGTCATTTCTTATGGTGACATTTCATTAGATCTTACCTCTGTGCAGGTAGTCTGAAGTGAGTTGATTTAATTTAATCCGAACAGATTGATTTCTGGTGATCTCACAGTTCAAAATTAAAGCACCAAAGTTCTCAATCTGCTAATAAATCCTGTAGCCTTATCAAATGCGAATCAGCTTCTAGTAAGACTTTGGATCTTACCCAATTTATGTTTGAATTCTTTGTTGCATCATCCAAGTTACCAGTAGACTGAATAACCTCTAAATGCTAGCATAGAAAATGAGTTTACTTTGAATGTTTAGAATCTTATTTGTTCCCACAGAAAGAGCACTATACCCTTTCATCAATAAAAATCCAACTTATTAACTGACTGGATTGCTGAGAAATACATGGGCAACAGAAAATATACTTATCAAAATACCACATGCCTTGTGGTAGGCCAGGCTCAGTAAATATAAAGACTATGATAGAACTGGATTCTGGAATCTTACAATCTAGTTAGAAAGTAAAGATTTTGCTTTAGCATAAAACCCACCCAGTATGTCTTTTAATTATCTGTTCTTTTCTTATAAAAATGTCCTCAACAAATTCATTTAAGAAATATTTATTGGTGGGCGCCTGGGTGGCTCAGTTGGTTAAGCGACTGCCTTCGGCTCAGGTCATGATCCTGGAGTCCCAGGATCGAGTCCCACATCGGGCTCCCTGCTCAGCAAGGAGTCTGCTTCTCCCTCTGACCCTCCTTTCTCTCATGCTCTCTGTCTCTCATTCTCTCTCTCTCAAAAAATAAATAAAAATAAAATCTTAAAAAAAAAAAAGAAAAAAAAGAAATATTTATTGGTTTCATACTATGTGCCAATCATTTTGATGCCAGACTCACAGATCTTTTATTTTAGTGAGTGGAGACAGAAAAGCAGTAAAAAACCAAATAATTGTTCTAGATCATAAGTACTATGAAAATAAACATGGTAACATGGAGAGTGATTGAGGATGTAATTTTAATTGGATGATCAAGGAAGGCCTCTTTGATGTGGTGCCATCAGCTGTAACCTGAGACAAGAAGCCATGTGAACACCTGGAAGAAGAGTGTTCTAGAAGAGAGAACAGCAAGTGCAAAGGTCCAGGCTCAGCTTAGCATGTCCCAGAAACAAAATGAATATTAATTATTGATGATTTTGGGAGTATATTTATCAGCCAAGGTCTCTGTCCTAAAAGAGTTCTGTAATAGAGGCAGACGTTAAGCAAAAAGATCACACTACAATGCAGAACTACATTGAAATGACAGAAGTATGTACAAAGAAAAGAGATGCTAAGAGGGAGGAGTGATCAATTCTCTGGGCTGTTTCAAGGAAGGCTTCACAAAGAAAGTAGTGTAAAAGTAGGATTTTGAAATACCAACAGAGTGAACCAGGCAGGGAAGAGGGTTAAGCTAGGGGGAAGAGCATACAGGGACTGTGAGTGCAAAGGGCTGCAGGCTGTGTTTCTTATTGAACACTACAATACAAGAAAGTGAGGCTCAAGAGGACAGAGGCTGAGCCATGCAGGGCCTTAATATTCTGTGCATGATAGGAGCTATCAAAAGGCTCTAAAGAAGGAACCACAGGATTGGATTTGTGTTTTAGATAGATCACTGCAGGATGTCTCTCTTAAATATGCCTGTGGGAGAATAAATATAGGGCAGCTCTAGAGGCAGTGAAAAAGGTGAAATAAGGCCAGTGGCAGAGGGACTCAGAAAAGAGGTAAGAAACCAGAGAGGTTTTTAGGAGTTGATGAAACAAAAACAACCAAGTAGGGCTAATTGTTCACTGTTGACTCACCAATAACTGTCAGTATCCCGCACATAGTAGGCACTCAATAAATACTTGTAAAATGAATAAATGAATCAGTGGTGGCTGGCTGTGGCAGCAGATGCCTGATGAACAGAAGTCACGAGGCCCACATTCAAACAGACTCTTCCATTAACAGAGAACCACTGAGTGCTTGTCTCTATTCAGGCGTGTTGCTTTAATCCTAACAACCCTATGAGACAAGTGTAATTTCCATTTTTTCAAATGAGAAAAACCTGAGGCTCAGAGCGATAACGTACGATGCCTGAGGTTCTAGAACTAGTCAGCAGCTGGACTCAAGGCACCATGACACACAGCCAAGTGTGCATGCTTAATAATTACTTTCTGTTACTTAGCCTTAGAGGCTCAAAGAATGAAATAGATCGTGTAAAGCCCCAACCAAAGAAATCCAAGGAAAATCGGTTACTCTTAACAAGAGGTTTAACAGGGTTCCCGAACTTTCCTGTCAGCCAGGCGCTGGAAGACCACACACGCGCATCACGAGAACCTGAAGCGAAGCCTCCCACGGCGGTCAGGGAGGGGGTGGGGCGGGGTCCGGACCCGCAGAGGTGGCGCGCGCAGCCGCAGTGCAGCTCGCGAGCGCCGCGGCCTGGGGGAGAAGGGAGGAGGGACGAGCAGAGGAGGGCGGGGCAGACAGACGTAGGCGCCGGCGTCCAGTCGGAGGCTGCTCGCCTTTGGGTTCCGCGGGGAGGTCTTGACGTCATTTCCTTCCGTAGGTCGCCAGTGCTTCCGGGTCGCGGTCATTTTGAGCCCGTATTTGGGTGACTTCTTGGAGGCCGGGTGCCTGTCTGCTCCCCATCCCCCAACTCCGCTGCAGTGCCGCGCGGCTGCCGGTTTCCGCGCGCCTTTCTTCCTTCTTGACCCTTCTCGGGTCCCCTCGAGGCCTTCTGCCCCCGATCGCCCCGGCTCGCCGCGCCATCGCTCGCCGCTGTCGTCCGGAGGTGGGTGAGATGACGCAAAGAGCCTGCATTCCGCCCCCCACCTGCCCACTCACCACCTCCGTGCGGCCAGCCGCTACGCTGCACCTTCCGCCATTTTCCCTCCTGCGAGGGTGGGCCTATCGCCCACTGGCTCTCGGGCTCCCGAGTGCGGGTCCCTGGGGCAGGCGAGGGAGTGAATACTTGGTGACTAATGTGTGTACCGGGGTGTTGCAGGTGGGAGACGCGGGTATTGCGGGGATGCAGTGCGTAAATCGGCCATAGGCCGACGAGGGTTCAGTTGAGCTTTTTTCTGTGCCATTAAGAGGTTAAAATTGTGTTGTATGAAGGGGCCTTGTCTGCCCTGTCGCTAGGGTTTCTAAGTAAGATGCAGTTACGGGAAATAACGTTTCATTTTTTTATTTGTTTTAGGATATAAGTAGTTATTTAGAAAACTCCTGAGTTCATTTTACCCTATTTCTTTTTCCTAGTCACGGGATTGACCTATAGTAGGCCTTCAGTGATGGTTTATTGAGTGAGTGAAATATGGAAGGGCCTCAGTTGCTATCCTCACCGTGTATGCCATTTCACGTTTTCATGTAAATGGTTTTTAAGATGGGAATAATGATGGTCCTGTGTGAACATTCTATAAAATACGCAGTTATCCAGTCTGTTGGTCTCATAAGTTCTGAGACGTGGGTTAAAAAATAAATAAAAACGTATATTTTTGAAATTTTGCATTTTTAAATCATATATTCTAAGTCTCTAGAGAGCGAGGAAAGTTTGGAGGATACAGAATTTGCTGTTAGCTTTAACCACAGGGAGAAGGATATAACGTCTTTGTTATTCAGTTTTTGTGGAGTAGTGCTTTGTGGGAGAGGTTGTATGTTTCCTGGTGATTATTTCATTTTTTTAAAAAAATGGAGGCCCAGAAATGAATTTTGAGATGTTTCTTCTTCTATTTTGGGAAATCATCATAATCTTTGTGCATATATTTCTGAAAGGACAAAAACAGGGTAATGTGAAATAACCCAGCTTTAGGAGGAGAAATATGCCTATTTCTTTGATATTCTTTTATATCTTAATATGACATAATCTGTTGGTAAATAATTATAAAGGACCTATTCTTTTTCAGTTAGGGGACCTAAGATGAGTAATCAGTTCCAATTTAGTTAATAGGTCTGATGCTTTTTTTATTTAGGTCCCTATTTTTATTATGTCAGGTATTTTAGATGTAGTAGTATTTAGTATATATTTGTTGCTTTGATTGCCCTGTAGACTAGTGATTTTACTGTGCTATATCTTAATTGATTTTGGTCTAATGATTTCTAATACTTAAATGTTTTTGATGCAGGAAAAATGAATGGGAGGGCTGATTTTCGAGAGCCGAATGCAGAAGTTCCAAGACCAATTCCCCGTAACTATCAATTAAATATTTATAATTAGAAGCACTTTATATGTAAAAACACAGCCTTTAGTAACAGCAATTGGACTGGCTTCAGGGGTGTGTGACCTGTGCAGTCACAAGGGAACTCACTCTGTTTAATGATCTACTGTTGCCATTTTGAAATTCCCTTTTTTTTTTTTAAGATTTATTTATTTGTGAGAGAGCGCGAACGCACGCGTGCGAGCATGGGGGGGAGGGGAGAGGGAGAGAGAATCCCAAGCAGACTTCCTGCTGAGCCTGGAGCCCGACATGGGGCTAGATCCCAGGATCCTGGGATCATGACCTGAGCTGAAACCAAGAGTCAAGACAGTTAATTGACTGTGCCACCCAGGCACCCCCATCTTGAAATTCTTTTTTTTTTTTTTTAAGATTTTTATTTATTTATTCATGAGAGACAGAGAGAGA